TGCGCAAATTCCGTCAATTTCTAGTTCAACTTTTATTGAATTTTTGTGTTTTTGAAATTGAAAAAGAAAAATCGAATAAACTAGGCTTGATGAAAATTTAAAAAAAATAGGCTTGGCACTCGTTGAATTTTGGTGGTTAGGTGATCGGTCACTTACTGCAATGAGCCTTGAAGCTAAATTAGAAAAATGATTGATGATTGATCCCTCATCTTTTGATCATTCACTTGATTCTTTATTCTTAATCGATGTTCTAAAAATCATGTCTATCCACTTTCCTTTTCACTGATCAAAGACATTGAACAGAGGACAAGGAAAAAGGGATGAAATTCCATCCAAATATCAGGTTCAAGCAAGGTTTTTTCCCTGAAACAAAAATCATTTCTTCTCTTGTTTTTATTCTTGAAATTGTTCAGACAAAAGCTTAAGACAAGTTGAGATTCGAGATTTGAGTCGGATCTTTAAAAATAACAATCCAGATTTGATTGATTTCTTTGATTGACTAAAACTATTGGAGAATCTTTTCATCTCCAGAACATATAAAGTTTGTAAAATTCAAGATACAATGAATGAATAAAGTTTCTTTTTTAAGCAAAAAAACACTTAAACAAGGAGAAAGGCAAAAGAAAATTAGGGAAATGGCTTCTTACATCGCATCTTCATACTGACGGCTGGGCACCCGATAATATGCCAAAAAATAAATTAAGGTTTAAGACAACAAAGTTCTTCATCTCGAGTTTCACCACTTCTTGTTGATCACCACCGAAAGTCAACGGAAATGGCCGCATTTTTGGTAAAAGGCCTTGACTATTCAGCACAGGTAAGGATTTGTGTAGCTAGCTAAAAAGCAATCTCAGCAATTTATTTAGGTAGTTATCCCGGATCATAAGCGCGTGAAATTGCTCGGCACGCTGACCTCGACAAGTTCAATGGATTTGCATTTTGTTCCTTTGAGATTTGAGTCGAATCTTCAAAATAACAATCCAGATTTCTTTGATTGACTAAACTATTGGAGTAATCTTTTGCATCTTTTAAAGATTCATCTCCAGAACATATAAAAGTTTGTAAAATTCAAGATACAATGAATGAATAAAGTTTCTTAAAGTAAAAAAAAAAACACTTAAACAAGTGAGAAATGAGAAAAGAAAGGGAAAAATGGCTTCTTTATTCCCTTTTTTATTTCTTGTTCTTTATTCCCTTTTTATTTCTGTTGAATATCTCTCGAATCCCACGCGGATTTCCCATTCGGCGGATTTCTCAGGCAAGAAATTGGAAGAACTCAATATCTGGGCCTGATCTCATCTTTTTCACTTCCAAATTTGCACACAAATTGCAATTCTATTGAAAAAGAAAAAGAAGCAAAAGATCTTTTTCAGCTTAATGTGAGTGAATAAAAAAACGAATCAAGGTTTTAGACTTTTCAAGCTTTTAAAATCTATAAGCGTCAGGACAATGTCAATGTCAGACAATGTCTAGCCTCGGTGCGCCCAGATTAGAGCAAGAGGTCTCTTCTCTAGAGCTGACTAGAGATCCCTTCTTTAGCGGAGTTCACTCTTCCACTGGGTTGGCCCATTCATGGCTTGAGGTTACTAAAGCAAGAAGCTCATCTTTCTATCTCATCTCTCCCTCGCCTCCACATCGCCGAGTGAAAATATTCCCCATCTTTCTCTATGTATTTATGTGTAGATTTGGTATTGGTTCGGACTGATTACGCTTATCAGTCCTGAATAAAGTATGAATATATATATATATATAATGTCAATGTCAATGCTTAAATGTCAATGTCAATGCTCCCAGCCAGCTGTTTCTTATCATTGTTTCGAGCTCGAATTACCATAGCATTTTTATATAAAAGCCCTATACGTCTTGTTGATTATTGATACAGATTCGTCTGGAAGCCATAATGAAAAGCGGAATCATACTCGCGAAAACCCATGCCGTAAATAGCTGTAATAGTACCCCCAGCCCCATAATGACGGTGCGGAGTGTTGCGTAGTCTAGCTTTGAACGAGTCTTTCTCGACACTGGTTTATACTACAATGCGCAGTTTAGGTATCAAAAATAGCCCTGAATTTTCAGCTATTTTTGATACCAAAGAAAGTACGGGTGCTTTGAAAAAAATGGAATACTAAAAACTTTTGCAACTACGCAACTGTACGAGGGGGGGTGGGGTGGGGTACTATTACAGTATTTACGGTAAGTTATTAGATGTTACATTGATCCATAAACAACCCTAAACGTCCGAAATGAACTAAAACCTAGATTTGTAAACTTGCAAATTTATGGGGAAAACACAATGAGAATTAATAAGCGATTTTGTTTTCTTGTATTCCTTTTTTCGATTCTACTTCAATTTCAACAGAAAGCAAAGGTAAATGAAAGAACGATTACACCCGAAATATGACACAACAAATGATTTCCCCATGAGACAGGTGAATTCTCGGCAAGTTTTCTAAACATTATTCATGTTCACTTCTTAAAACCGTTCATTTATTCATTTAAAAACCCAATAAAACGTCATTCAGAGAAAACGATTGAACAGATTGATTTGGAAAATTTGTTTATAGACGTAATTAAAAATTCTCAACATTTTTGATTTAAACACCAAAGTCGATTTGTTGGATGGAAATCTTTAAATCATAATTCTAATATACATATATATGCTTTATTCATGGGGCGAATAGGGCCCGAATCAGATAATCATAACTGCATATAACATATTGCTACAATACTCTCACCGAAAAAAAAAAAGAGAGAAAAACTAAAGATAATACAGTAAGAGTACAGTTAGGGAAACACAGATACAAAAAAGATTAAATATAGGGCAGATTTGACATGGTAATAAGATCTAATTCGTTCACAGATACTTTCAATTTTCCTACAGACGAGAAGATACTCAGACGGGAGCTTATTCCCAACCCTACTAATTACGGTTCGCGCAAAAAGAATGATAAATGGAAAGATGATGGAGATGAGAACCGACCGAAATTTGATAAGGATGAATTTGTTTTTTATAGACGTAATTAAAAATTCTCTACGTTTTTGATTTAAATACCAAAAAGTAGATTTGTTGGATTGAAATCTTTAAATCATATAATTCTAATCATAATTCTAATCATAATTCTAATTATAATTCTAATTATAATTCTAATCATAATTCTAATTATAATTTAATCATAATTCTAATCATAATTCTAATCATAATTCTAAACATAATTCTAATTATAATTCTAATCATAATTCTAACTATAATTTAATTTAAAATCTAAATCAATGAACTCTCCATTAGCTGATTTTTCACTGCTTAAGTTCGATCATTTGAAAAAATGTGAAAATATAAAAGCTTTCCCGTTTGGCATTAAAAGGTGTTTTTGTAGAGAAAAAATAGGGCTTTTTTGAGCTTTAAATTCCTTGGGTTTACTATTAAATTGGTTTGAAAAAGACTAAAAGAATAAGAATACTGACTCTTAAAAGAATACTGACATTTCATGTGCTCTATAAAAGAAACTCGAATGTTTTTGAATTTATTGCATTTCAACCTTTACCACTACTAGAATCTGCTCTTTTCTGGATGTGAGAGTTTCAAATCCGAAAAAATTCTGACTAGATTCGAATTCTAGTATCAAATCCAAAAATTGCGAAGCAGCGACTAGCCGTTGTCGAGGACGCTTGGATCCGAATGGATAGACGCCTAGGTTTTTTGCTTGGGATCATCATCTTGGGATCGTCATCTTGGGATCGTCATCTTGGGATCATCATCTTGGGATCATCATCTTGGGATCACCATCTTGGGTCATCATCTTGGGATCATCATCTTGGGATCATCATCTTTTGCTTGAGATTCGAGAATGGGAAGTGGTTATTAGAAGACCTCGATTCGATTTTCCATTCACTAGTCAAGTTCTTTTGACTTTTTGGTTATTCTATACTTTTCATAGTTAAAACAAGAAAAATTCTCAAGAATTTAGGTGAATGAAAGCCTAGAATCGGTGCCTATGGCTGTGGTTTACTTTAAAAAAAGCCTAGATAATTGAATCTTGCGATTTTAAATGCAATTTGTGTATTTCTTGTCATCAAAAGAATATTGATTAACCTTGTTTCTTTGAATGAAATGTTCGTGTATTCGAAAAATATCATTTTTCGTGTTTTTTCATGATTTTAATTGATTCTCTTTATGTAGGAAATAGAAATTTCGTTTGTATACATTTGATTGTAAAAAAAAAACAAAAATAATAATAAACACCGGTTCAAAGCTATCACAATGAGCACAAAGAAATAAAAAGAAATTGTATACCGTATTTTCTCTAATAGTAGTGCACCCTGAGCGTTGCCTTAGATTGCTGGAAATCTCGAGAACCGCTTATCAGAACCTATCGATATGGGGTCGGAAAATGTAGCTGACGATGAGATCTAGTGGGGGATTTGAGTGTTGAGCTTCTGGGAAAGCTTGGAAAGCTTATAGCCTGGATCCCGGCCAACAATCCAGATTTGATTTATGGTAACTCAAGCTGTTATCGCATTTTCCCAATAGTGCACTCTGAGCGTCGCCTAGATTGCTCGAAATCTCGAGAATCGCTTATCAGAACCTACTCGATATGGGGTCGGAAAATGTAGCTGACGAATGAGATCTAGTGGGGATTTGAGTGTTGAGCTTCTGGGAAAACTTGGAAAGCCGTAAAATAGTCATCAACTCGGCTCGCCCGGGCGCACTACTATTAGAGAGAATACGGTATCTAAAATTAGAAATAGATTTGATATGGCACAAGAAAAGTTAGGTAATTAAACTAGTAAATTAAAATGAACACAAAAAAGACTTATTAAAATTCATTTTTTAAAACTAGATAAAATCGGTAATATCTAAAAGCTTATACTTAAGAATTTTACATCAAAAAAATACCCGTTTATTAATTTGAGTGACGATATGTGTAAGGAAAAGTTCGAAGAGAAAATTATTGAAGAAATTATTGTTTTAAAGTGATCGAGGTTCTTTTTTTTCTTTTCTAGAATCGTTCGACGATGATGTCATCCTTGAATTGATTGTTTGCTTGAGGTTGTAAAGAAACAAAAAAAGGAAAGTAAAAGACACCACAAAACAGTTGAGAAGCTGTTCCAAAAAGTAAGCCTTCCCCAAGCAAAGCTGTTCCAAAAAGTAAGCCTTCCCCAAGCAAGCTGTTCCAAAAAGGTAAGCCTTCCCCAAACAAAGCTGTTCCAAAAAGCCAAAGACCAAGCTAAGCCAAGCCAAAGCCAAAGCCAATCGACCTTGGGCTGGAATTTCAACCTTATTGTTGCATTTGGTTCTAAAACCTTGGCTTTGGCTTTGGCTTTGGCTTAGCTTGGCTTGGCCTGAAAAATCTAGTAACAAACCTTGACCTATCTTGGTCGAAAGGTGTATTACCCTTACTATCTCATTTTTATTGATTTACTATCCCGAAAAAGTGGTTGATTGGTTTAACGTAGTGGCTTTGCAAAGAATTATTGTTAGGTTTAGTGCCGTACATTTTCCAACTCTTCAGCGGTTTTCTTAAAAAAGAATTATGGAGAAGATTCACGCTCTCATCTAAAGCACTAAAAGTAAACTAGGTCAAAGTCTAGGTTGGACCAAAATCCTAGCATGATTTCGGACTGCATTGTTAAGCTAGAGTCAGCTAGGTCAGCAATAAAGGCCTAATCTTTTTTGGAAATCGGCTTAACTCTTTCTAATCCTAATCTACTATATTGCTTGTTTCCGTCAGACATAAATTAGTCTTCATAAATCTGACTCTTAACTTTTCTACCTTGATACCTTGACCACTTACTAGACACAACAAAGGGTCGAAAAAACACAGATAAATTAGTGACAGTAAATGGACAAAGAAAATATTCTAGATGATAGATGAAAATAAAAAGAAAGCACACGGGTAAATGCACACAGAATGCGGCGAGAACTAATCTAAAAAAAGGGAGAAGCACGAGGGGATTATTGGAGGGAAATAACACAAGCATTTTATACCTGTGTTTCTTTTCTCTTCCCAGCACCGGTTTGCGGTTTCCGAGGTAGTGATTGTTGATTGGAGGTGGTCATTGGTCGGCCATCGCCTGATATTCGAATCCCTTGTTGTGGGGAGGGTTCATCACGAGCTGATACCTGAAATTTGGATCAACTGAATACCTGTTATTGAAATGCTATCACAAGCTCAACTGTACACTAAAGTAAATAGACAATTTGCTTATTATTAACTAGTAGGTATTAACTTATTATTAACTATTAACTTATTAGGTTGTCCAATAAGTAATGCGTGTTACTTATTTCGATGTTACTCATCGAAACCAGCTTCATTCTATTATGACGGACTTCACTCTTTGCTCGGACGATGGAGAAATGTTGTTGATTGTTGTGGAGAATATATCGATTAATAAAGTTCTCTTTTGTTAATTTTGTGATATTTGAAAATCGTGTCAAAACACGCATTACTTATTGGACAACCTAATATTATTTACTATTAACTTATTATTAAGTATTAACTTATTATTAAGTATTAACTTATTCTTAACGATTAACTTATTATTAACTATTAACTTATTATTTACTATTAACTTACTATTAACTACTCAACAAAACTGCTTACTATTAACTAGTGGGTTATTAGCTTTGTAAAAGCTACCGTAACCGTAAAGCTACATTTTTTTGTTATTTTTAGACAATTTATATTATGTTAAATGTAAAACAGTCAGGCTAGAATATACAAAAGAATCTTTTAGGCTACAAATCCTCCACAATCTTTTCACGAACCATTCCCGGATATGAAGATCCAGCGTGAATCGTGTCCGTGTTCACCAAAAGACTGTGATGTCCTGGAGGAATTGGAGGCACAAAAGGAATACTTTCCTGAAAAAAAAAAGAATATTAAAAAGAGTTAGATAATAAAAACGAACTCTTCTCTTCGTTACAGGGAAAGTGGTCTCTTTGATGGGCACAGCGGTCATCATCGGAATTTGAATTTGTTGATGATCATCCGGGCGAGGAGTTTGCACCTCTTCGATCGGTGAAAGCATTGGATCGTGATGAATGATTTCTCGATCAACCGTTGAAGCAACACCAGACGATGTAGTTGCAGCAGGACGAGGTGATTTTCTGCAATTTTAAAGTATAAAGCTCTTAAAACAGAGAAACAATTTGAAACAATTGTACTCTTGTTTCCATTTAAGATTAAAAGTGTTTTTGTTTTTTATAAAGTTAACAACATTCATATAAATATTAGCAAAAACTCACGAGCGCATATTTTCAACATTTTTGAAGAGTTTTCCTTTAACAATGAGATCTCCAAATCCTTGTGAATGAGAGAAAGCATAACCAGATCGAATTGATTCGCGCATTGATCGTCGAGTTGTTGTTGGTCGAGTACGGCGAAGAGTTGCTCTGAAATGAGATAAAGTTTATAAATTCAATGTCTTTCTTTAGTGTTTTGATCGACGCGAGTAAGTAATTGCTAATAAAGGAATTACCGTAAATACTGTAATAGTTCCCCACCTCCCCTCGTACAGTCGCGTAGTTGCAAAAGTTTTTTAGTATTTCATTTTTTTCAAAGCGTCAGTACTTTGAAAAAATGCGTCTTTGGTATCAAAAAATAGCTGAAATTCAGGGCTATTTTTTGATATTTAAGTGCGCATTGTAGCATAAACCAGTGTCGAGAAAAACTCGTTCAAAGCTAGACTACGCAACACTCCGCATCGTCATTATGGGGGTGGGGTACAATTACAGTATTTACGGTAGGCAGTTCTTTAGAAAAAGCTCAACTTTCACCAATGAGCTTTACAGTATTTACGGTAGGTTTTCCAGAAAGTCTTTTCGTTCCTTTTTGGTAATTCCGTTGAAAAATAACAAATTCAAAGTAACCTATGGTTTATTTCATTAGAAAGGTCAATTATATTTTGTTTCATTAGAAAACGCAAGGAGAATATCTACCGTAAATACTGTAATAGTACCCTCGTAAAGTCGCGTAGTTGCAGTTGCAAAGGTTTTTTAGTATTTCATTTTTTTCAAAGCGCTCGTACTTTCAAAAAATGCGTCTTTGGTATCAAAAAATAGCTGAAATTCAGGGCTATTTTTTGATATTTAAGTGCGCATTGTAGCATAAACCAGTGTCGAGAAAAACTCGTTCAAAGCTAGACTACGCAACACTCCGCACCGTCATTATGTGGGTGGGATACTATTACAGTATTTACGGTAATTACATAATACTTTTAGAAATTAAAGCAAATCAAATCTTTCTTTTGATCTAAACAATGTTTAACTCAAACCTTTCCCTTTCCAAATCCTCTTTTCTTTTTCGTGGACTTTGTGGTCTCATCTTGTTTCGTATTCTCAATCGATCAGCAAAAGTTGGATGAACATCTTGCCAAAAGAATCGTACAACAATCACAGGCATCAATAGAATCACACAAACCTGAAAAAAAAAAAATGGCAAAGGTTGCACAAGTTGCACAATTAATCAATTGTGCAACTTGAGTCATTCCTTCGAAATTTTCGAACTTTTGTTAACTATATTTTAGAGAAATGATCAGCAACGATTTCAACAACAAATCTACAATGAAATTTGAGATTTTAATGACTGCATATCCAAATTTTCTCTCAAATCTCTTTACAATTTGATCTTGTTGACCTCTGCTGTTAAGTGATTTCAAAAGAATGCTAAGCCCTGTTCACAATATTTGTTTGACAAGAGTACATACAATCAAATGTCTTGATGTTCAAATTGATCTTTTCTTTGATCTTTTCCTCTCTCAAACAACAATTTAACGATTTCAGAATATTTTTTGATATGTGTCATATAAAATATTTCCAAATTTAAAGTAAAATTTTTGTTTTCTTGTTTTTGTTTTCTTTATAGTTATAAAATACTTTGTGATGATTTAAAATAATTGCATTTTAGGATTTAAAATATGTTTGCTGTTTGCTAATAATAAAATAATGTTTGCTCGTTGGTTAAAAGTTGATCAAACTAGAGTCTTGAGTCTTGAGTCAAATTTCATTCATTGCATTGCTTTCATTCATTTCATTCATTGCTTCAATTTCATTCATTGCTCCATTTCGACTGGTCATTTCTTTTCGTTTAGTGTAAAGGAAAACGGTGATCAAAAACAGATGGTCGAAGAGTTTTTCGGCTTTTTAGATTCTCCCAAAAAAAACCCCAAATGACCCCAAATAAGCCCCAAATGACCCCAAATGAACCCACATTTCCTACCGATTTGTTTGTATCAAATTCTGATCGACCAATGATCCAACAGAGAAATGAGCAGAATGGACAAGTCATCGGGATCAGCGCAAAAACTCTCCACTGATCGGCTAGTGAGAGCTTGATCTAGTGAGAGCTTGATCTAGTGAGAGCTTGATCTAGTGAGGGCTTGATCTAGTGAGAGCTTGATCTAGTGAGAGCTTGATCTAGTGAGAGCTTGATCTAGTGAGAGCTTGATCTAGTGAGAGCTTGATCTAGTGAGAGCTTGATCTAGTGAGAGCTTGATCTAGTGAGAGCTTGATCTAGTGAGAGCTTGATCTAGTGAGAGCTTGATCTAGTGAGAGCTTGATCTAGTGAGAGCTTGATCTTGTGAGAGCTTGATCTAGTGAGGCTTGATCTCTCACTTCAGTGAGGCTAGTGAGAGCTTGATCTCTGACTTTGAATCCGGCAGCTGTAGAAAATCGAGCTATTGAGAAAATCGAGCTATTGCTATGGGTTGAACTGTTTAAAAAATAAGCCTATATCATCGTCTAAAGCTTCAGTAATCCATCATCACGGATTTTACGCAAAACTCTAAGCAAAATCCAGTTTTAAAATCAAGCCAATGAGTCCATTAAGCGCGTGTGAAAACACGTTGTGACAAGAAAGATAGAGATGTTCGTGAAAACACGAAAATTGGGAGAGCGAAAATTGGGAGCTCATCAAATTTCCACAGAACTTTTGCTGGCTGGTTCGGATTCTCTCACGACCAAGAAATCTTGTCTGCCATCCTCTTAGCTGACTCTCTGATTTCAAGAAATCATTTGTTAACCTAAACATTTGCTATAATTGATCGTAGTTCTTCAATTCTTCAATTCTTCAATTCTTCAATTCTTTAATTCTTTAATTCTTCAATCCTTCAATTCTTCAATTCTTCAATTCTTCCCTTCTTCAATTCTTCAATTCTTCGATTCTTCAATTCTTCCATTCTTCAATTCTTCAATTCTTTAATTCTTCAATCCTTCAATTCTTCAATTCTTCCCTTCTTCAATTCTTCAACTCTTCAATTCTTCAATTCTTCAATTCTTCGATTCTTCAATTCTTCCCTTCTTCAATTCTTCAATCCTTCAATTCTTCAATTCTTCCCTTCTTCAATTCTTCAACTCTTCAATTCTTCAATTCTTCAATTCTTCGATTCTTCAATTCTTCCATTCTTCAATTCTTCAATTCTTTAATTCTTCAATTCTTCAATTGAAATCTCAAATGAAAATCAAAGAGTGCTCATTGACTCATTCTAAACAAAAATTGAGTCAACTTTTTTCTAAACTGACACTAGGAAAATAGATTTGATTTCTAATTGACTTAATGTGCATTGTCATGAAGGAATATTTGTTGTGATCACAAAATACGTTTTGTGATCCATCGAGATCAAACGGATGAGTCATTGAGAGGAAAAAGAGACGGAAATGGATGGAGAAGAGCTTTCCGATTGATTGATTGAAAAGAAAAGAAAAGAGTCTCTTTGTTTTTTTCCACACTTTCTCCGTCCTGTTCTTCTTTCTGTGAGAGATCCAGAGCTGTGGGGAATGATTGGGGCGGGACAATCACCTCCTCTCCCCCAAAAATACAGACGTTTGTTTTGGTGTCACGTAAACCAATGGCCAAAGATAACCTATATAAGATGCATCGAAAGCTTTCAAATCTTCAAATCATTTCCGATCTAGATCAACTAGATACAACTCTGATAACTCTGATATTTCAATTGATATTTGGATATTTGATATTTCAATTTCAATTGATTCAATTGATTCAATTGATTTCAATTGATATTCCTCTCTTTTCACCTTTAGAATAGATCAAATGCATCAATCTCAATCAACTTTAATCCTTTTCAACTCAAGCTTTCCAGATACTTTTCAATCTAAACTCAATAAAGAAAAGATCACTTTTGACTGATATCTGTTGACCGTTTTGATTTTTGCCCCAATTTCCCCCACTTCATTATTTACCCGTTCACAGCTTTTCCTCACTAAAGCTTTCAATGAAAACTTTCACTTTCAGCACAACAATGCGTTCGATCATCGCCTTTGCCTTACTGGCGACAACTGCTGCATTCACACTTCGTAAGCGCTTTTAAACAATGAACTTTTAAATCAAGCTTTTTAATCAATCACTTTCAAATCAACAATCTTAGCCGACAACGATGAGCAGCGTTACAAGAGAAACTGAAAAGATTGGTGGACAATCCGGGATTCGGAAAGATCCAGTGAGTAATGAAAAAAGAAAACTTTAAAGTAAATTATTCTTGAGCCATTTATCATCACCAATTTCAAGGTTGAACCAACTCCATTCGATGTGGAAACCATGGAAAAAGAATGAGCCAAATCTCAGTCAGCTCCGAAAAGACAAGAAAATCGGTGGAGAAGCCGGGGATAACCCAGCGAGCAGACAAAAGAGAGACTTTGATGTGGCCAAGGATAAAATTGGAGGAAAAGCCGGGATTCGGCCTGAGGTGAATAGAATGTTCATTAGAGTATTTTGAGATCTTCAGCCAACACCCGTTGATGTGAAGCCATGGAAGAAAGCTGAGCCGAAGCTCCACGAGAAAGTTGAAACGAACAAGGCTGAGGCCAAGATTGGAGGTTGGGATGAGACGGGGAAAGGGACTTGTAGAGCTTATGTTTTGAAAGCCAAAATCTAAATGATTTTTCAATTTCTAGGCTCTGCTGGCATCCGCCGAGACAAGCGGGAATTCGACGTAACAAAAAACAAAATTGGAGGGGAAAGCCGGAATTCGTCCAAAAGAGGAAGAGAAGAAATTCGATGTGGCCAAGGATAAGATTGGAGGTTGTTAGAAGTTCAATAAAACGAAATTAACAAGAGATTTCCAGGTGCTGCTGGAATCCGACGAGACAAACGAGCGACTCATGGAAAAATTGGAGGAAAAGCCGGAATTCGTCCAAAAGCGGAAGAGAAAAAGTTTGATGTGGCCAAGGATAAGATTGGAGGTGAGTCAAGGATAGATTGGTGGTGATTGATCAAAGGTTTTCAAAAAGATAACTACAACTGCCACTATTTCTTTACAAATTACAACAAAATATAAGTTACCTCACTAAGATTGGAGTACTGATTTACTTAGAGGTTTATATTTCAAAATCATAGTCTAGTTATTATCTACTGATTTCCCTCTCTTTCTTCCTTGTGTTTCCTATTTCTTCTTGGAGAAAGAAGGCGCCGATAGCTCAGTGGTAAAGCTACCAGGCAAGCAGAAGGTCGAGAGTTCAGTGCCTTCGGTTAATTCTTTGCCATTCATTTCTTTTCTTGATTATGATAGTGATTTGTGGACTCACATCGAGGATAAATAGTTTTTGGGATCTGGAATCGAGGATAAACAGTTGTTGGAGCATAAACTGGAATGGGTAACGGATCTGGATTCGTTGGGATCTGGATCCCAAACGGATCTGGATTCGTTTGGGATCCAGATCTGGATTCGTTTGGGATCCAGATCTGGATTCGCTTGGGATCCAGATCTACATTCGTTTGGGATCCAGATCTGGATTCGTTACCCATTCCAGTTTATCCACTCTAATTTGCATTTAAGGTTTAATTTGATAACACTAAATTTACTTTAAATTTCCAAATATTCTTTGCTATTCATTTCTTTACTTTACTTCAATAGTTGTCTACAAGTTTTACGATACTATGGGGTTGTTATGTTTATTTTGCAATGCAATTTTAGGCGCTGCCGGTATTCGCCGAGATCCACGAGCCACTGATGGGAAAACAGGAGGACAAGCCGGAATCAGACCCGATAATCAGGTAGAGATATCATTAAGAGTTTTTACTGATTCTACAAATCACGGATAATAATTCAAAAAGGTTATTCAAGAAATTCCAGCCAAGCACTGATGTGAAACCCTGGAAGAAGAATGAGCCAAGATTGGGCGGAAAGAACAACTAAATTGCTCTTATTGCTTGATCTTATTGGTTGATCTTATTGCTTGATCTTATTGCTTGATCCTATATGCTTGATCTTCTTTCCTTTTCATATATATTTCCCTGAAAATCGATTTATTTGAAATGTTTATCGAATTCGAATCTAAACACTTTTCCATTTCTCAATTTTTTTGAACAAAATTCTTTCGTTATTTGAACTTTCACAAAAATATTTCCCCCAACTTTTTGTATATAAATCGAATGTAAATATTGATAAAGCTTTAAGAGAAATTTGATCTTTTCATCTTAAGCAATTACTTTAGCAAAAAAAAATCAAATTTAGTATGGTTTTTTTTTTTTCGTTTTGAAAACGAATCCAACATTCGGAACCAATTTTCCGAATTTATCTAAAAGCTTAGATCAATTAAATTCGAGTTTTAATTGGTTTGGTATAAAATAAAACTCAATAAAATGGTTTTAGCAAGACTCAGCTTAGAGTCCAGTCAAAGCCAAAGAGTTTTAGTCTTTCCAATTGGTAAACTCAATAAAATAAATAACTCCAATCGATTCTCTGACCTCGAAAACCCTAGATACAAATTTACAGCTAAATATCTTTTTGTAACATCTAAAAAAGTAATCTCTGGGGCCTTTTGTTAAGGAAAATGTTCTTGGTGCTGCACACAATCTTTCTTCAGCTGGCAAACGTTCCCGATACAAGGTGTTTCCCTTTGGGGTTGGGGAAGCAGCGCTAAGCAACGAGTTGGCCTTGCTCTTATGGGCAAGGCCAACATTCCTGTCGCAAACTCCTGTCCAAACACTCTTTGCCCCAAACTTGGCTCAATTTATACTATTTCTCAATTTATATTCTAAACGTTATGCTCGTTATCCCGTTAAGTGAGAACGAGGTTGAAATTATTCAAGGTTGAAACTAACCCTACCTTCAGCTTTTTTTTTGTTTTAATCCTTCCTGATTACTGTTTAAAGCGAGTAATTGTGGTTCTAGTTTTTGCGTAATATTTAAAAAACCCATTTCTTACTTTTAAATGTTGGGAAGCAGCGCCAAAGCAAATTCGAGTTTTAATTGATCGACTCAATAAAATGGTTTTGAAAGTCAGATTAGAGTCCAGCCAAAGCCAAAGAGTTTTAGTCTTTCCAATTGGTAAACTCAATAAAATGAATAGCTGCAATCGATTCTCTGACCTCGAAAACCCCAAATACAAATTTACAGCTGAATATTTTGCACTATAGAAAATCTCTGCGAAAAGATTGGCCGAGGTGCTCTTTGTGCACCCGCGTAATCGCTTGCCGTCTGGCCAAAACCCCCTCGGTATATGACTGAAATGAACCGACCATCAAGATCGAGAACCAAAACTGTGTGGTGGCCATTGTCCGAAAAGCGACATTGTAGGAAATGGCTGAGGCTGTCTTTGAAAGAAATGAGAAGGGAAGAGCTGAAATTTGAGTCATTATTTCAGTCATTTCAGTCCAATCAATTAGAGATCACTCTAAACTCTCTATTTCTCTCTATTTCTTTCATTTTTAAATTCAATTACAAGATTTTCATTTTTTTAAAAGAAATTTGCATTCCTTAAGAAATTGAGAGTTTCGAGTCTATTCAAAAATTTCAATTTTTTTTTTTTCAATTTTAAAAATGTGAGTGGCTTGTGTTGAAAAAACAAAAGCTTTACAAGAGAAAGTGCTGAAAAAAAAATGATTTTTAAAAAAAAGGAAAAAGTGAAATCTTTAGCGATTTTTACATGGATGATTGAAAATCTCGATTAAATATTGGAGGAAATCGAAGCCGAACAAATCCTCCCACAACCAACGGAAACGAGGAAAAACTGAAGATAAAGGTAGAAGTGATTTTGTAGCTTTTGATCAGGTTTGTTTCAAAAGTCAGTTTTCTGTGTGAGGTCAATCTAAGCAAGATCTAGTCCTGCCATAGTTGCCGTAGTTTTGTTGAAGTCAAAAAAGTCCCTGGATTTGGTTTTGGCCTTACTTTTCCTCACTTTCCCTGGCCTGGTTTAAAGGCCTCACAAGGGAAAGGCATCAAGCAAAAAAAAGCAAAAAAGTTTGGCTAGAGTGGGATCGAACTTGGGGGGAAAAAGTGTGACAGGTTTGGCAGTCTAGAAGACTATCCACTAGACCACCGAAGCGGTTGTTGAGCGAGCGTGTGACGGGTTCTTAAAGAGACTGAAATTGAATCCAGATTGAAACAACCCTGGTGTTTCGAAACGAAACTGAGATCTAACTTTGTGCAGTTAGATCTCAGCCAAAATTAAGAGCCAAGATTACTGTGGCTTTTCGAAAATGGACACGTTTTAGAAAACGGATTATGTGAGAGGTGAGAACGGATTTCACGGTCACTAAACAACACAATGCAAAACAAAAAGATGTATTTTGAGAGAGAGAGAGAGAGAGAGAGAGCTTTAATTAGTTCAAGAAGTTCTCAACAATCGTTCTTTTTTTCACTGATCACTCACAAAGTACATCTTGAAGGGAGTTTATTAGACCACCTGAATTCTTTAGCCAATTGAGATTAAGGTTTAAATTTCAATTTAAATTCAACTAAAACTAAATTTCAAACTAAAAGCATGCCATTGTGTGAGTGAATTTCACAACCAAACTCTGAGTGAATTCACACAAAAAGAGGGAAAATGTTTGAATGAATTTTTCTTATGCATCTAATTCTTAGCTTTCATAGATTTTCCACACAAAAAAAAACTTACTAATATAGCTGACACGATAGGCTGCTTTAATGAAAAAAGAGCAGTTTTTGGGTGCGGGAAATTTTCGTGGTGCTTTAAAAGTAAAGACTACCTTCGTAAAAGATGAAACAGAGCGCGAAATAGAAGAAAATCGATCCCCAGAGGACGATGTGAGTGATGGCTGTCCAATAGTAGGTATCAAGACAAATCTAGAAAGTGGAAATCATGTTGATAGTTTCGATATCGAAACCTGATTGGGAGCAGAGTGTTTTAACTGATCTCTAATGGTAATTTTAAGCCAGATCGGAGTCAGATAAAATACTAAATCAGAAACTGGCAGGCTAAACCTCTTCTGATTTTCTGATCTTCTGACCTTCTGATCTTCTGATCTTCTGATCTTCTGATCTTCTGACCTTCTGATCTCCTGATTAGCCTTGAGAGTTTGTAAACAGTAAGGCTACCCTCTACCCTGGTAAACTAGACCAGCCTGAGCAAAGCAAAGTCAGATCAGAACCTGACGCTGACTTGTCTGACTTAAAAATTCCGGAAATATCCCTGCTCGGATTAGCTTGATTTACCTGTATAGTGACAACGATGAAAAGAGCTGTGAAAGCGGTGAACGCTAGTGCGGGATAATCGTTGAGATCTCTCCCATTTGGGTCAATCGCCTCAATGAATGTACCGTATGGAACGAAGAAGATCACCAAAGAGCTGAAATTTCCTGTTTAATTTTTAATTTGCGAAAATCTTCCATAAAACTACAGTTAATGACAAAAAAAAATCCCCAGCTCATATGTTTGTTGGCTTTTTTTTCTCTCACCTGATCATTCCTTGTAGCACCGAATAGATGAATATTCTCATATTAAAGAATAAATTGTATTGACCGGGTAGGTAAAGTTTTGGAAATCTAAAAATTAGTGATGATTGCAGAAAAATTAGTGATGATTGTTCAATAAAAATCCACCTCAAACTCGTATCCGCATCCACATCTTGATCCAAAGCTCCCATCGCCAAAACGGGTAATGCAGTGAAAAAAAGATTGTAACAAGCAATGAGGATTGCATCGAAAACCGTCTGAAAATTATTATCAATGATTCATATTTACTTGAAAAAGAAAGAAAGAAAGAAAAAAAAACCCTTACCTGTGCAGAATATCCGCAAAAGAACGAATACCAGAAATGAGTGAGAGTGAAAGAAAAATTCTTATAAAAGAAATAGCTCAAGAATTTGCACATTCTGATATAAGACCATCTAAAAAATGAATTATTTGACTTATTTGACTTTTTCTTTACCGTCCGTGCACCAAAAGTAAACGCTCCAAATATTTGAATTGTCCAATTGAGTAATCAGAGGCCAACACGGCTTGCATTCCTTCTTGTCCTGGAAACAAGGAATGGTACTGTTACAAATTGATACAAACCAGAGATCCCGACTCCAATATGAGCTGTTTTAATCATCGACACATCATTCGCTCCATCACCGATTGATAGGGTTACCGCTTTTTTGTTTCTTTTAACCAAATCAACCACTTGAGCTTTTTGAAGCGGAGTCACCCGGCAACAGATCACTGCCTGAAAGACAACGATGTGCTTTTTAAACTTAAACGTATCAACTTTTGAAAACACTGTAATCTCGTCTTTTTCTTATCTAATCAATCGACTTTTTATTTCTTTCAATCTACTAATTTCAATCAATCTTTTAATGTCCTTCACAAATCCTCACAGAATAGTAAAGAAAGAAATTCCGGAGACAGGATTGAACCCTCAAGCTGTCTCCGGATTGAACCCTCAAGCTATCTCCGGATTGAACCCTCAAGCTGTCCCCGGGTTGAACCCTCAAGCTACCTCCGGGTTGAACCCGCAAGCTATCTCCGGATTGAACCCTCAACTTCGGAGCTCGATCTCGACCTTCCGGGCAAGTGCTTTAACCATTGAGTTATCCGATATCTTCTAGCCAGAAAAGAAAAAGGAAATATACGGGGGGGGGGAAAGAAAGAGAAGGACTAAGAGTAGATAGCTTGTGGTAAAAATTAGAGACAAGAGTTTTCAAAAGTTGACACATTTTAGCAAAGAATGATGAATTAGAATGATGTTACCTGACATTTACAAGCGATTTCCAAAAAAGTGGCAGCTAAACGATCAGTGAGAGCAAATCCAAGAGAATCCCCATTGATCACCAGCGCCACTCCTCCACCTTCTCCACTGTTTGGCGACAATGGAGCGCCTATTTGAGTTTTTTTCATTTTTTTTTTTTTTAATTCTTTAAATTACAAATTAATTTTCGGGTTTAAAACACGAGATTCTTCCAATTTCAATTTCAAATAAAAAGAAAATTTCATTTCAAACCTCTGTTCGCTGATTGTGTTCCATTCTGGTTATTTGCGTACTCTCCTTCTTCATGAATTGTCTCAATATCAAATCTTTCAGGCATCCGCGCGCTAGCCGTTGGTGGACGAGCTTTCTGTAAAGAAAAGATTTTCAACTTTCAATGCAAAGAACTCATTTTGAATCGAATCCAAATCGAATAAAAATGAAAATCCAAAAAAGTTTAGCATTATCAATTTTTTGAATCAATTCCAAAATGAGTCCTATTGTTCAAAATATTTTTTTTGAAGCAATTTAGTAAGTGCAAGTGTGTGATAAAAATGCGGTGGGATGTTTGTGAATGAACAAGGCTTGGTAACTCGCAAAATTTGTAGCCTCCTTTTGTAGTGAAGAAAATATGGTAGAGATCTCTCTACAGACACACCGATAAATGTTCGATTGGGCGATATTCTCGTCGATCGATGATGCTCGTCGATAAATTCTTCTTTTCATCCTTTATCTTCTCGATTTCTCTCACATAATTGATGATCTCATCAATGTATCTCTCGACGGCTGTCGTGCATCCGAAACGAGCCGTTCGTGTCTTCAAACAAACACAACAGTTTTTGAAAGTTTGAAAGTTTGAAAGTTGAAAGTTTGAGCATCAGCAAATGCTTAGGAATTTTGAAAAGAGAAAATTGTGAAAGTTTTCTTAGAGATCAGCCAATGCTTGGGAATTTCGGTGAGAAGAAAATCGTAAAAATTTTTGCAAGCAAAACTTTGAGAAGGAGCAATCACCTTCACCATCACTTGAGGGGTATTCCTGCCAAATAAGGTGTTTCGTAAAACATGTCAACTTTTAGATTCGGGTAGATACTTTCAAGCATGACTTGGCTACCGTAACCCGTTACAGTAACCTTTGCGACTGCTGTAGTAAAGATTACTGTAACCATAACTAACTTGGAGATAGGATCACCAAATATCTATAACGATTAGGATCTAGACTGGGTTACCGTAGCTGGAGATGCATTGGAATGCCTACCTGATTCAGGTTTACGGTACTTTCGAGAGTTGACACTTTTTAGTAAAGACCTTATTTGAGAAGATTACACTCTAATCACACGCACATGCATTCGACAAACACTTGCGAAATCATTAGTTCAAAAGGAAAAGGGTTTTCGAAAGTTTGGTAAACTACTAAGTTTTCTATGACTACGTGCTGACTAGAACTGGGAATTTTCGGTGTGAACGTCAATAAATGTTCAACGGAAAAATGCTATATCTTGGTCAATTTCACTCAAATCTTTTGTGTTTAATTTCAATCGATAAAAAATTCAATTCTGCGTCAATTGATATCAAAAAAGTTTTGAGTGAAATCTGCCAAGTCAAGATCTGCCATTTTTCCGTCGTACACCTATTGGCGTGCACACCGAAAATTCCTAGGTCTAGTGCTGACACAATATTTGGTAGTGAAACTGATTTAGACCGTACCGCAGCCAGGGCCGCATCAAATGCCCTCCATGTGTCTCTCAGTTGGACATCCACCTCTTGTTCGCTATGTCTAAAATAAAGCTAATTTACATTTACACCTTAATTGGAGTTTTAATTTTTGATACAAATGTAAAAACACATGTACCAAAAAACGACAAGTATCCAAAAAGAAAGCAAAGCTTTTTCACTCACCCATCAATGACCATAATCTCGCTCATATCATCAGTCAACAGGTGACAAGAATAGGCAATATTGATGGCTGTTTCTGAAGTTTATTTTTCAAATTTTATCTCTAACTGAATATCATTTAAAGCATTGGGTATTAGTAAAACTATCAAATAACCAGCCGAAAATTTTTCTGGTTGGATGTTTTGGGCGATATTGATGGCACGCATTTTTTCGTCGCCGTGGCGCAGTCGGCGCGCTTGTCTACGGCGCTTGATTCGGGTTCGACCACCCGTAGTGCCACTTCATTTTGACTTTTTAAAAATTTTAGTTTTTTGGTCCAAAGTCGGCTGAGATTACGTACAGACGGACGAACAGACACTGCTCTTTTATAGACACTACCATTTTTATAATACAATAGTTTCTTACAGTTTTATCTCCGGTGAGCACCCAGATCTTGATATTCGCTGCAGCTAGTCGAGCGATTGCTTCAGGAACTCCGTCTTGCAGTTTATCCTCGATCGCAGTCGCACCCAGTAAAGTTAGATCTGAATAATATAATAAATTATCCAAATATAATATCTATTCCATTCATCAACCATCAATTTCCCCTTACTTCTCTCCATTTCCTCATACAATGCATCCAATTTCTCATCTCGATTGTACATATCAACAGCCGCCTCTCGCTGTCTGTTCTGTAAAGTTATCTTTTTTTCAAAGAGTTCAATTTTTTTTACCATCCAATCATCAAAAGCAGCATTATCGATATCTTTATAAGCCAGACAAAGTGTTCGCAATCCAATCGCCGCAAAATCGGCCAAATGCTGATTTGTGGCGTCCAAAAGGAGAGGAGAAGTCGAGGGACTCAATCTAAATAAAATTCGGATTAAATCCTGAACTCAAATATCTTTTCCAATATCCAATACCTAGCCATGACCATCATATCGGCTCCTTTACAATAAAGTCGGATCTTGTTTTGACTGTTTCGCGTGATGACCGACATCCGCTTTCGATCGTTGTTGAAATCGAGAATACACAAGAGTTCGTAGACCTAGGAAGGGTTTATTTAAGAAAAATTCAATTTCTAACCTCTTCAACTCCATTCAAACTGATGGTGATCGATTGAGGGGTTCGACTCCGAAAAACAAAACCGAAATTGCGAGCCGCGGATGTTAGGGCGGCTTCGTCAGGGGATTGAGCCTAAAATTGAGATTTTTGAGGTCAAAAGTGCTTTGTTTAGATGGATAGCTTACAATTAAAGACAAGAGTTGTGCTTTTTGAGCATCAGCTTGATATCTGTAGTTCTTTTATTTAAATCAAACCTGATAGACGAGCCTTCCATTATCCCTTTCGGGCATCACTGTATGACATAAAGCGAGTAATCGAAAGAATTCGGTCACTTCAAAGGTTCCTTTACGACACGCGTCCAATAAATTCCAATCGTAGAATTTGAACTCCGGCTCGTAATCGGAATTCCACGAGAAATCGACGGATGGAGTTGTCTGAAAAATTCTTTGAATCAAACAAAAAGTGGATAGATTGGATAAAAACAGCCAAGATTACTGCAGATTTCGAAAGAAAGTTTTGAAAAGAAATCAAGTCAAGCACTAGTTAGTAACTAATTCTCTTACCTTGCACCTTTAAGAACCCTCTAAAATAATTTGAACCGAAGTCGAAATAACAAGAAGATCGCGCTGTGGGAGATTATTTAGATTTGCGTTTTAGTTAAAAGGAATTGGGGCTAAATTGAACTTTACGGTCCAGAGCCAAAATTATTTCATTTCTTTTAAATAGTATTTTTCATGCTTAGTGATGCATAAAAAAAGACAAAAATAATGGGGGAAAAATTTGTAGACCAAAAAAATCGACTTTTTGCTTATTATTACTGTTTTGACCATAAAGTTCACCCCTAAGATTGAACTTTACGGTTCAGATTCAAAATGACTTAATTTTGTTAAAATAGTATTTATAATGCTTCGCTATGCACACAAAAAAACACAAACATAATAAGGAGAGAAATTTTTAAGCCAAAAAATTACACTGTTAATTTTGAGCTTTTGGACCGTAAAGTTCAATTTAGCCGGAATTGGTTAAGTTCAGTTTATACAGCATGTACAAAAAGATTCGAAGACAATGGAGTAGAAGGAAGCCGAGAGAAACGAAACAGAACCATTTTAGAAAATCTAAACAGGAAACATGGTCGAAAGAATATAAAAAGAAAGGAAAGAATGAGGGGAGAGGGAGTAAACGCGCTACAAGAATATAATAGTTTTTACGAAGGGGAAAAACTTAACGGAACATCGCATAGAAGCCTGACAACATTGACGAATGCCGAAAAACGAAAATGAATGGCAAAAGAGGAATTTTTGTGTGGGGTACGGTATCGTATCCACGCTTTAGAAAGCGCGTCGCGCCCTTTTCGCGCCAGTCTCTTTAAACCGCACGTAAATAGGATTCTAACGCACTCACCTCAGTGATATCCAAATAATTCCCTCTTGAATCAATCGCATCTCCATATCGCACTCCATTTATCGTACACTTATTGAATGTCATTATATTCCTTGTTAAAGTACCCGTTTTATCCGAAAACACGTATTGAACCTAGAGAATTCATTTGAGTGTTTCCTTTTTTCGCCAAACTTGTCCCAATTCTTCATTCAGCGTTGTCGATTGTGCTCTCGCCGAGACACTGTTCTCTCCATTCTCATAAAACATTTCCTTATCGTTGTTTATCCAAAATGAATGGATAAATCGAATCACTTCCACACTAAAGTAAGGCTTTTTTTGAATTATATATCAAATGTTTTTTTTTTGTTTACCTGACATATAACGAAATTGGCACTAATGTATTGAGCAAGATGATATACGAAAAGAACATCAGAAATGAGATCACTGAGATTTGTTTTCCGCCCTGAGATTGAAAGTTAGCATTAACATTTTCGAAATATAAATTATATGATCTTGGCAATTTGATAGAAACAAAGCAATTTGTGGGCAATTTGTGCGGTAAAAGCCTCAGTTTATAACTTGACAGAAAGAGAAGGGATGAGCCAGAGATCCGGTCAGATCAAAACCAGAACCAGAACTCTAGCCAGCTCTAAAACCAATACTTCTGGTTCTGGTCAGCCTTCTCGATCTGGTTCTGATAGTGAGCCAAACTACTCGGGTCAGCCTTGCCTTGGCCTGTTTGTCTAGAACTAATTAGTTAGTGTAGAATCATCGATAACGAGAATTGCTATAGTAGTACTTTATCTTGATCATCCCATCCAGGAATCGTGCTATCCCAAGGGAGATAAATCGTGAAAAATCGTCCAGTTGTCCACTCCCAAACACCGCAAAGAATTGTACAAATAAGGCACATTGCAAGTAATAAAAGAACAATCTAAAATCTGATTTAGTAGAAATAAAGTAGACCGCGATCACCCCAAGAATGAGCACATTGAGGAATCGATCAAGACTCGTTCTCTTGAATTTCGTCTTTCCTGAGTTCATCATCAATTTGGTGTCTTTGCCAGCGAACACAACCACACCATAACACCTGAAGAGTTTTTTTTAATGAAAGTTTCAATTTTTCAATTCACCATCTAGTATTCTTCAAAATACAGCCTCGAAGAAGAATTTGATCATTTGTGATGGGAAAAGTCTTTTGTTGCCAAATCAATTGCCCTTGAAATCGATCCAATTTATTGTTCGGTGCCTCGCAAACGATTTCCCCTGTAGAATCTTGATATTTGCTTTTTGAAAAGTGAGTCAAAACCATTGAAAGCGCTAATTTGATCTAAATCATCGCCCATTTCAGCCGTTTCCGGGATTGCGCCTCTCGTTTTCAGATTCGTTTCCCCATCTAATTCTTTTGTTTCGATATAACAAATTCCATGGGGTTCTGAGGAAGAAACGACAAAAAGATCAGCCTAAAATTTGTTTATTTTACCCTTTATTCTCTTTATTTTAAAGTCTTGATTCCTCTTGACTAAGCATGTCTACTTACCATAATCTTTCCGACCTAAGCTACCATAATCTTGTCTCAAACTTACCATAAACTTTCCTACCTAACCTACCGTAATCTTGTCCTCAAACTTACCATAATCTTGTCTCAAGCTTACCATAATCTTTCCTACCTAACCTGCCGTAATCTTGCCTCAAACTTACCATCATCTTTCCTACCTAAGCTACCATAACCTTCTCTTAAACCCACCATAATCTTTCCTACCTAACCTACCACAATCTTGTCTCAAACTTACCGTAATCTTGTTTCAAGTTTTTACCAATCTATTCAAGCTATATTCTCTCCAATCTATCCAGTCTACAGCTAGACTGAATAAAATTAGAGACAAGATTACGATACTTTCCAAAAGCTGACATATTTTAGAACAAAACAATTTTCTTGAGAAACATATTTTGAAAGCAAAACAAAAAACGAACCGCAACAAATTGATTGCTCATCATTCTAATCACATCACCGACTTTCACATTGTGCCACGGTTCTTCCACCAAGCGACCGCCTAAAACAAACTCATCTTATTTATTTAAAGATAATATGGATTTAGAAAAGTGAGTCTAAAATTATCTAGCCAATCTTCAGAGAGATTCAAAATCGAAAGTTTTCTATTCAAAACACACCTCTAACCACATACGATTTCCGATTGTTCACTTGTCGATCGGAAATGTGTCGTTGCTGAAAAATCATATCAGCTATCAGTACTCGATAACTTGTTAAACTTTGTTAACTTTTCGCTATCAGACGCGCTCCACCCCTTTTCCAATTAACAATCTAACTTTAAGCTCTAATTTCTTGGTTTCTAAGCTTTCCAATTTAAATATTCTTGATATAATTAGATGAACCAAGTCTTTCTCTATTGATTTTTATAAAAACTATTTAAATTGAACAGCCTAACCTCAAGAAATTAGAGCTGAAAGTTGGATTGTTAATGGCAATTGCGTTTCTTTTTTATAGGTCACCTTTCCTCTTAAATAATATCTTTTCTAAACTTAAGAACTACCATAATCTTGTCCGAGATCTGCTCCAAACCAAAAAGTACCTGAACTCGTCAGGTAGACGCTTTAAAAAGTTATAGAACATCTCATACGCACCCCACCCCTTTTCCCGTTGCCAATCTAACTTTAAGCTCTAATTTCTTCGTGTTGGGCTTTTCAATTTAAATATTCTTGATATCGTTGGTTTTTGTTTTTTTAGGTTTTAGGCGGTTTTGTTCTTTTTCAAAGGTTTGCTAGAGGCTCTTAACTCTCCTACCCTGGGTTGGGATTTTTTAGGTTTATTTGTTTTACTATAAAAAAAAAAAATAATTTATTAGCTCCCGCTTAACCCCCCCCTTTGTTTTGAAAAAGAGAAAAATTTCTTTTTTTTGGTTCATTGGAGTCAAGTTTTCTTTCGAATCAAGTTTAAGGCAGCCAAGTTTTTCTCTATTGATTTTTATAAAAAACTATTTAAATTGAACAGCCTAATCCCAAGAAATTAGAGCTGAAAGTTGGATTGTTAATGGTAAATTGATAATGGCTCAAAGTTGGATTGCTAAAAGGGGGCGGAGCTACAATCTTAACTTTTCCTCACCACATCATCATATCCATCTTTCGCAGCTGAAACAGCCAATACAAATATAAGTGGAATGGCTGTCGTGTACCAAGATATTGATGAAATTACAGGAATAAACTAAAAAAAATTGAAAATAAAGGCAACTTTTGTTGTCTTACTTGTAAGATCATAAGCACTAAAAAGTAAAAATTAGCGATTCTCGTGAATTGCTCAAAGAGATTCTGTGGGAGAAACGTCAACAAATTGTACTTTGACGTCTTGATATAGTTGTCCTAAAAAGAATTGAGATCATCTCTTCAACTAAACAAACTCTTAAACCAACCGTATACTTGAACTGTGCATTGTAAGCGGAATCATTCGCTTTCAAGTGTCTTTCTTCTTTTCCTTGTATCGATTCACCATTTTTCCCTCTTAATCGATCCAAAAATCCTCCAAACATTTCCCTCCACCTCCAACCCTTTCCACTTTTCTTCTTTCCTTCACCAGTAGCGCTCGTCGATGAGAATTGTGGATTGATTCCTGAAATTGTTTTCTTCTTCTTGCAATCTTGTTTTATTAAACTCTAGTTTTCATCTACTACTAAGAAAGTTTCACTTTTTCTTAGCTTGGGCTATTTTTAAGTAGATCAGGCTCGAAATTGACGACCGTAAATACTGTAATAGTACCCCACCTCCCTCGTACAGTCGCGTAGTTGCAAAAGTTTTTAGTATTTCATTTTTTTCAAAGCGCCCGTACTTTCAAAAAAATGCGTCTTTGGTATCAAAAAATAGCTGAAATTCAGGGCTATTTTTTGATACCTAAGCGCGCATTGTAGCATAAACCATTGTCGAGAAAAACGCGTTCAAAGCTAGACTACGCAACACTCCGCACCGTCATTAATGGGGGTGGGGTACTATTACAGTATTTAAGGTAGGTTTCCTAGTGGATTTTTTTCTGAAATAATCAAATGCAATCATTCTTTTCCAGAAAATGCGATCACTTTTTTTCCAAAAAAGGAGACATACTCAAAATAGAATTCAAATTGATCTGATTTGACTGAAATGAAATTTGTCTTGACTTGAAGTCAAACTACATCTCGAACTTGACTAAGAAACAATCCTTTTAAGCATACCTTTTTCTTGTGGAGTGCCCGGTAGAGTGGCTGATGGCGTGTCACGAGCCGGAGCTACGACCGCTGAAAATGAGATGATAGAAAATATCTCTTGAATCCGAATGACGCATATCAACCGTAGATTTTCGAAGCACGGTCAGGGTAGTTTAAGAAAATGCCTTAGAGAAAAGGTACAGTAAGACTCCAGAAGCAATGGTCTACGGTTAGAATATTTATATTTTTCTTATCAATTTCCCCCAATACAACAGGCGAAACGATTTCAGTTCATTCAAATCATTTAACCCATTTTCCCTGGTTGATTTCTTCAATTCTCCACTTCACTCAGACACACTTTCAGGAGGAAAACAAATACAAGAAAATTGAGAAAAAGGAGGAAAGGTTCACTTGTTGGCTACTCACACAACAACACAAATCACACCTTTTTCCATATAAAACACAGTTTTTCATGGCTTTTTGAGGAAAAATTTGAACAGTCAATAACCACGAAGCTTTCTGTTTGAGGGGGAAATCAATTTTGGCATGGGCACTCAATTTTTCGTGACGTGGTTTGGGAATTGAGAAAAATGAGAAAGTTTCGTAATAAATGCATTTGCAGAAAAAGCTTAATGAAAAGCTTAAGATTATAGATATAGATAAAAGTTATAGATAAAATTTTAGAAATTTTAAATATGATAGCAAGGGAATAGCAAGGGAAATGAATTTTTCACCAAAAAAAGGCTTTTCATCGTTGAGAGAATTGTGTGAAGAAAGAGTGTCAAAAAGAGAAAAAAAAAAGACTCGACTTTTCTTTTTTGAGCTTTCACTGTCAAACACGAAAAATGAGTTGCAAACAGTTTTGTGAAAAGGTAAAGTGTTAGTGAAATAAGTGAATATTTATAGAAATATAGTTTTCAAATAAGAAAACAATATTCACGAATGCTTTAATGGTAAAGAAGAACAACAGAAGAACAACAGAAGAACTTCAACACAGAAGAAGGGGTTGAAGGGGTTCAAAGTTTTGGAAAAGTTCAGGCAAACGCGCAACTTGTAAACAAAATACAATTGATCAAAAAAAAAAATCAATTGTATTGCTTTGATTTAAAGTAATGAACAAAGCTTTCAAACTAGCACTTGCAAAAGTGAGTTCAAAAATCTCCGCCGATCTGATTGACGTCTTCAAAAGCTACTCAGAAAGCCACTTGCCCAGTGATTGAGCTTATTTGATCCCCGCTTTACCTGCTTTTACCGCTTCATTGTTCGTTTCATTCTTCGCCTCAATAATCTCCTCTCCAATACTTTGTGTCATTTCAATCGATTGGCTATTCACTTTTGCATTTAACGATTTCACCTTCAATATTTTTGTCTTTTTCGTTTTCTTTTTCCCCTTTTCTTCTTTTTCTGGTTTTCTTCTTTTCTTCTTTTCCTCAACAGTTTTCAAAGTTGAAGCAACGTTGCTTTAGAACGAAGATTGCATCTTCATTCGTCTTCCCCCCCCCCCCCTCTTCCCCCCCTTTCTCTCATCCCCCTCCTTTTCCTCAACAGTTTTCAAAGTTGAAGCAATCGTTGGCTTTAGAACAGAAGATTGCATCTTCATTCGATTCTTCTTCACCTTCGTCACCTTTCCAATCAATGATATCTTTTTCGGTTTAGCAGAAGAGATTTTTAAGTTTTTCTTGGATTTAGCGGGTTTCTTTTTAGGATTCATCATTGAATATGTTATAGCTTTAAGGAAATTTAAATTGTAGAAATTGTAAGAAGCAAATAGAGAGTTAATTATGGTAGTTCAGGGCTACTGCTTTCGCGTTGCTGCGAGATATTCGAAGAAAAGAAGAAAAGAGGAATTTGTGGATGAAATAATAGAAAAAATGAAAACTCTTTTTGCGGTGCAATTCTTTCATCTCAGCTTTCTTTTTGAATCTATGGCTTCTAGAAAAATGGCGAGGGATCTTTACAAAAGTAAGATTTAGAGCTGATTTCGAAAGCTGATTTTAGACTTGGAATATTTCGATTAATCAAAAGATTTAAAATCAAAAAACTGCTGACAGCAGATTTGACAATACTTTGGGATATTCTTCATGTTATCGATAGATCATTTTAAAATGAGTATAATTGTCGTGACGATCTCGTGATCGAGATCGAGATCGTCACGTATGGAAATGGCCAGCTAGGCACCTATGTGCCGAGACCAACGCCTGAGTTCCGTTGAAAAAGCAATGTGAACGAGCTGCCGACGTGTGCCGTGGAGTGTCTCTACCCTCCCAATCTCAAACCACTGAACCAACTATTATCGTTGTAATAAAGATTATATCTAAACCAACAATAATCACTACAAACATCAAGACAGGAAAGCAACAGCTACTATTAAGAAATCAAAGCTATACAATAATACAATAATGTTTAGGGAGAAGACATACTTTGACTATAGTTTCAGAATAAAAGCAAAAGTTTAAGAACAATGAAAAAGAAAATTTTTTAATTTTTAAATTTTTTATTTTTCCTTATCCCCATTTCTTTTCCTGTTTTTTTCCTATTTTTGATACTTTAAAATATAAATGGACAATGGTAGAATTATCAAATGATGAATGATCAATAGCTACAGTACTTTACGGTTATTTTCCTATTTTTGATACTTTAAACTGCCGTAAACTGCTATATTTGAGCTATGATTTTCGAAAAATTAAGTTAAGAACAATGCAGAAGTTTAAGCAATAGCAATGCAGTTAATCTTGAGCTTTGACGATGATAGTTTGTATGTAAGAGTTCTGAGGGAATAATTGTAAAGTGCTAAAAGAATATAGATAATAGAGAAACTTTAGAAAAAAAGGACTGTGTTTTAAAAAAAAGAGCCATGAGATATGCTCAAGAATCTAGTGCACAAAGGGCACGCATCACTCTTTTAATGACTCAGACAAATTTCTGTAAAATCATCAGAAATGAAGAAGCTACTATGAAAAGCGTTCAGACTAAAAAATCAGAAACGGTTTTCCGAAGGTGCATGACTCGACAAGAAAAGGTGTGATAAGGACACACAAGAAAGTCCGTTGAAAAGAAAAGGAAAGGAAAAGGGAAAAGGAGAGATCGCAATGGCACTCCCACTCTTTCGTTTTTTCAAAGCCATAGTTATTCTTTTGATTCCCTTTTTTCTGATTTGGCCTTTGATGGGTATTTGGGGGTGAAGTCGTTCGGATGACAGGCAAGGGGGGAAAGGGTTCAATCGGCTGGTGAACACATTCGGCAGAGTGAATCATTCGACAAACACACATCTTCCCTTCAATCCATCCATCCATCCATCTCATTGCTTTCCAATTTTCCCTCATGAATGTAACTATTTAGATTTTGCAATAAGCTAATAATGCTAATAACTTTTTTTTATACTAGTGTACTAATAGCTGTTTTTCTTTAAAGCATTTTGAGATGATATAAAAACAAGTTACAAGGATTCAAATCTGAGCTGGAGCTGGAGTAAAATCAATCTCTAGAGTAAAAGCTGGAGTAAAAGCTGGAGTAAAATCAATCTCTGGAGTAAAAGCTGGAGTAAAATCAATCTCTGGAATAAAAGCTGGAGTAGAATCAATTTCTGGAATAAAAGCTGGAGTAGAATCACTTTCTGGAGTAAAAGCTGGAGTAAAATCAATCTCTGGAATAAAATGGTAAAATCAACCTGAATAAGCGAAAATCAATCTCTGGAATAAAAGCTGGAGTAGAATCAATTTCTGGAGTAAAAGCTGGAGTAAAATCAATCTCTGGAGTAAAAGCTGAAGTAAAAATTCAATTTCAAAAATTCAAATCAAGAGCTGAAGTAAAATCAATTTCATTGTGAATGGTAAAGAAGAAGGCGCTGAAAGGGTTCAAAGTTTTGAATAAGTTCAGGCAAACGCGCAACTTGTAAACAAAGTACAATTGATCAAAACAAATCAATTAATCAAAAAACTTTAAAAGTTTACCTTGATAAAATTGTCTTAAAAATAAATAAAAATAAAATTCTAAAGCTTTTTGAAAATTAAAAATTTGATTGCAAACTAGCGGCTTTATTTTGGAAGATGTTATCATCTTTATTTTGAAAGATTTTACCAATGAAGAGATCAAAATAAATAAGAACAAATCAATCTTTACTTAAAATATTTAAAATTTATATCCATTCAAAGGATAATGTTTCAAAAAGCCTCACAAAAGAATTCGCGTGGTTGTGGAATGAAACGAAGAGACGAAACGTGCAAACAAAAAAAGATCTTCTCTTTCTTTTTTTCTATTCAAACCCGCGAGGTATTGTTTGAATTGAATTGGATCAAAAAAAAAGCTTTGCTACGATAAATCAATATATATCAAAACTGACATAAAAGCCACTAAAATCTAGTCAAGTTTATCTTTTTCTCTAAAAACGCTCTGATATGCCAAAATTTCAATTCTACGCCCTAAAATTACCTAGAAAAACAACTTTTGGAATAGGAATTGGTTCATATTAGCTTTTTAGAGCTTTTTTAAAACGCGAAAAAAGGTGCGCTAATGGGCAAATTTTGACTGTTTATTAATTTAAGTGACGTGTAAGGAAAAGTTCGAAGAGAAGGGAAATTATTGTTTTAAAGTGATCGAGGTTCTTTTTTTCTTTTCTAGAATCGTTCGACGATGATGTCATCCTTGAATTGATTGTTTGCTTGAGGTTGTAAAGAAACAAAAAAAGGAAAGTAAAAGACACCACAAAACAGTTGAGAAGCTGTTCCAAAAAGTAAGCCTTCCCCAAACAAAGCTGTTCCAAAAAGCCAAAGGTCAAGCCAAGCCAAGCCAAAGCCAAGCCAAAGCCAAAACCAATCGACCTTGGGCTGGAATTTCAACCTTACTGTTGCATTTGGTTCTAAAACCTTGGCTTTGGCTTTGGCTTGGCTTGGCCTGAGAAATCTAGTAACAAACCTTGACCTACAGTACTGGACAATGAAATATGATATTTGAAAAAAGATCGTCACTTTCGCGCGTCGGTAACTCCCTTGTCTTTAAGTTTAAACTATTAGTGTTATACATTTTCTGAAAGCTCTTTTCAAGGGCTACACAATGGTAATATTAATATTTAGAAATACGGTAAAGACAAGGGA